TGATCAACTTTTAAGCCAATCCAAGCACTATGATTTCAATATTCAACTAAAGCATTTGCCACATTCTTGACTTTTAGAAAGAGGTACACAAATTTTAAATTAAAATTACTAATATTTATTATTTATTTGTAAATATTTTTTAAAAACTAATTATAAGTAAATAAATTTACAGACTAATTCGTCACAAACTATTTTACTAACAAAATTACACAAAAAAAAAAAAATTCATATCGAAATCGAACTATAGATTTCATCCTCTAAGAGTTCTAACACGTAATATTTAAAGGAAAAAAGGCTTAAATATGTCATCGACTTTTGAAAAAAGACATATCTATGCCACCCGTTAAAAGTTTGGCGTATCTATGCCATTTCAGCTTAAGAAAAGGCTCATACATGCCATTATTTTTTAATGGAAAATAGTTTTGGGTTTGCAAAATCATTTTTACACGACGTTAATTATGATTCGGCCACGTCATTAATTAAATTATTTTTAAAGAAAAAAGGCTCAAATATACCATTAAACTTTGAGAAAAGGCTTATTTATGCCATCCGTTAAAAGTTTGGTTCATCTATGTTATTTTAGTTAACAAATAATGACATAGATGATCCTTTTCTCAAACGGAAATGGTATAGATGAGCTAAATTTTTAATAGATGACATAAATGAGTCTTTTCTCAAAGTTCGATGACATATTTAAGCTTTTTCCCTTATTTAAAAGATTCCTATTTTGATATATTCTTTCAACTTTATCAACTTGCTCTAACTTAAATACAAAGATAAACTTTTTTGTATTAACATAAAATTTGAATCTAAAATAAAATTAAAAATATAAATATCTGGAGTTTGAATCAATATATTTGTCCTTTTGGACAGAGGGCGTTTGGATTGACTTAAAAGTTGGTCTAGTCTACTTTTAAGTCAGTTTTTGACTTCTGGAGGTGTTTGTCACATATAAAAAAAACTTAAAATAAGTAAAAAAATGACTTAAAATAAGTTATAAAGTGTTTGACAAGGTCAAAAATGACTTTAAGCTTTAAATGACTAAAAATAAGTCAAAAATCAAAAGTAGGTCTCCCTCTACTTTTTATTTTTTCACTTAAAAAGCCATTTAGTAAGCTACTTTTTTAAGCTAATCCAAATGGGCTCTAAGAGATAGAGTATATTTTGAGAAAAATAACAATAGTTGAGTTATATTATGATCCTAAATGAAATAAAAGTGTATTATTTGACAAATTTCCAAACATGAGCGGCTATTTAAGAAATTTATTCTTTTGTTTTTTGTCTTTTATTTTGTATAGTATAATATCTCAATTAAGTTTAAGTTTGCTTTATTATTAAGTCAATACTATCTCTCAAATATTTTAATTAACCAAAAAAGGAATAAAAGAGAAAAATAGTGACAGGAACCATCTTCTTAGGTTTTAGTATATCCGTACATTATGGGCTAATTTTGAAATTAGACTAAAATTTTCCAAAATATGCGCGGCAAAACTTCTGCACTTTTTTCTCTCTTTTTTCAAAACAGAGGACTGAATTCTGCTCAGCTGAATCAGTTCGTCTCTTCATCATCTTCTCTGTAGAGTAAGATTCTGCAATCCGAACATAAAAGGTTAGTACTTTGTAATTTTTTTGTAATTTCTCGTTTGCACCGCTTTGTTCACTTTCCAATATAAAATGCATACTCGAATCTGGCTTGTTAGTGTATTATTACAAGTATTAGATTAAATTTTGGTTCGTTTCTTTTGTGGATTTGTTTTTAAGGTCTGATCGTTAATCTTACCGTGTGAAAACTCATCATTATTGTTTGAGGAAACAAGTGTGTGCTTTCTATTAAATAAATAGAAGATTAGTTAGTGATTAGATGTGTAGTTAGTTAATAGACTATAACTAACTTTACTGTAGAAAGTTAGTTATAACAATACAATATTGTGGCTGAATGTATAAAATGATGTGTACTTGGCATTTTACATATATGAAAATATCTGTTCTTCTCCTTCAAATGCTCTCTACATGATTATCAATCTATTCTAGTAGAAGAAAAATAACATGGTATCAGAGCCCAAATCATGAGGGATTGATCTACGTAGAAGATAGATAAGGATTACGAAGCTGTAGAAGAAGCTTCAAAATCAATCCAGAATGACGAGAAACAAAATTGCATCGGCAACTGGGAATAAAGTTACAACCCTAAATCACAATCATCCATTGTATCTCCAAGCTTCAGATGCTCCTGGAATTGTTTTGGTGCCAATCAAACTAACAGGGCCAGAAAACTATGCTCTGTGGAGTCGATCAATGAAATTGGCTCTCAGAGGAAAAGGAAAACTTGGATTCGTTGATGGATCTTGTGTGCAAGCATCTCATAAAGGAGTACTAGAAGAACAATGGGAAAAGTGTAACACGATCATGTTATCATGGATTGCGAGCACTGTTACAGGTGAACTTCTACCAGGGATAATATATGCTTCAAATGCAAAGAAGGTTTGGGCAGATTTTGAGGAAAGGTTCGATAGATCAGATCTCACCAGAATCTATCATTTGTGGTCTGAAATTGCAGCTCTCAAACAAGGTATTGACTCTGTGACTTCATACTATTCAAAATTGAGGGACTTATGGGCTGAATTGGATGTGATGATCCCATCACCCAGGTGTGCATGTGAGGATTTAGCTAAGTATGTGGAGCTTTTGAGGTCACAAAGATTGCTGCAATTCCTAATGGGATTAAATGAAAGCTTTGGTCATATTAGGAGTAGTATCTTGGCTAGGAAGCCTGTTATAACTGTCAATGAAGCATATACAGCAGCAGCACAAAAGGAAAGTCAGAGAACACTAGGAGTTTGGACAAAACAAAAGATTCTTTAACACTCTTAGTAGGAAGAACTCAAGGAGGCAGACCTAAACCAAAGAAATTTGTGCCACCAGGTATAATATGTGATCATTGTGGATTCAAAGGGCATTTTAAGGCTGACTGTTACAAGTTGGTAGGCTATCCGCCAGATTTTCAAAGCAAGAGGAAATGATCTGATGGTTTCAATGAAATGAGAGGAACTGAGGGTTTCAAATCTGATGTCAAGCCAAATGCACATTTCACTAGGAATGTTGATGACTTCACAAAGTCTACTGAGAATCAGATGCCATCATCTCAATATGAGGATCTGGTGAACAGGATGGATAAGGCAAGCACATCAGACTGTGTTGCTAACATGTCAGGTATTGCTTCCTTAGATTCCCAAACAGGTCAAGTCTGTGAATGGATTATTGATAGTGGAGCCACACATCATATTGCACCTAATGAGGAATTATTAATTGTTAGTAGAAGAATACAAGACACTAATACTGATGGAGTCCAGGTGCCTACAGGAAATAGATGTAACATCATGAATATTGGGATCACAAAGGTCTTAGAGGGGCATAAACTTAAGAATGTATTGCATGTACCAGACTTCAAGTTTAGTCTGCTATCAGTCTCGAAACTAACCAGGGAACTAGCATGTTCAGTTTCCTTTTACCCTGACTTTTATGTGTTTAAGGGACTTTACGATGGCAAGGTATTGGGGATTGGTAAAGAAAATGAAGGGCTATACATATTAAAGAATCAAATAAAGCTAGCAATGCATGCTATGGTTGCTGAGAATAAAGATGGAGACACGAAGCTATGGCACTTAAGGCTAGGACATGCTTCAACAGGTGTGATGCAGAATATTCAGTCATTAAAGTATCTCTCAAACAGAAATGTACAACACAACTGTGAGATTTGCCCTTTAGCTAAACAATATAGACTAAAGTTTCCAGTTAGTGAAAGCAAAACATTTAGAGCATTTGAATTAGTTCATGTTGATGTTTGGGGACCCTACAGACAACCTACTTTTCACAAGAAGCATTACTTTGTCACTATAGTAGATGACTACAGTAGATACACTTGGCTTTGTCTCATTCACTCTAAAAGTGAAGTCATTGTAGTACTCAGGGATTTCATTGCTTTAATAAAGAATCAGTTTGCAATGTCTGTGAAAATTTTAAGATCTGACAATGAAATTGAGTTCTTTAATTCTTCAGTTACTGAATTGCTTGCTTCAAATGGTATAATACATCACAGTAGTTGTGCTTACACTCCTCAGCAGAATGGTACAATAGAAAGAAAACACAGACACATATTAGAAGTGGCCAGGGCATTAAGGTTTCAAAGCTTCCTTCTTATTCAATTCTGGGGTGAGTGTGTTAGGACTGCTGTATATCTGATCAATAAGCTGCCTCCTGATGTGTTAAAATGGAGATCACCTTATGAAATGTTGCATCAGAAGCCATCTGGAGTTAGTCATTTAAGGGTATTTGGTTGCTTATGTTATGCAACTAGAATACCTAAAGGGGACAAGTTTACACCTAGAGCTAGGAAGTCACTGGTCCTAGGATATTCTGAGACTCAGAAATGGTACAAGTTATATGATCTAATTGAAAAGGTTTTCTTTGTGAGTAGAGATGTTATATTTAGAGAGGACATTTTTCCTTTACAAACTAAGGCATTGCCTGCAGAGTTTGATATGTTTGAGTTAGCCAAATCAGACTTGATTCCTACTTCTGTCAATGAGCATATAGAGCATGTTATATTAGACACAACAGCTGCACATCATTTTACTGAGTTCAATGTAGAGAATAACATAAGGACTGTTGCAGTTCCTGATGTCACAAATAAAGTCACTGAAGTTGATACTTCCACATATGAAGGCCATACAGTCACACCAGAACCCCAACCAATTATTCCACTCAAGACCAGACCCCCTAGACATACTAAGCCACCCCTTACCAAGCATACTTGGGTACTTTCTCACAACCATTTGAGCCTACTTCTTGTAGTGAAGCATTTAAGGATGATAGATGGGTTGCAGCTATGTCTGATGAAATTGCTGCATTAGATAGTAATCAAACTTGGGAGATAGTTGACTTACCACCAGGAAAGTTGGCAATTGGTTCTAAATGGGTGTTTAAGATTAAGCATAAAGCTGATGGGTCCATATACAAATACAAAGCAAGGTTGGTAGCAAAAGGGTATAATCAAAAGGAAGGGTTAGACTATCATGAGACTTTTTCACCAGTTGCATGGGAGACTAAAGTGTGCAAACTGATCAAGTCTTTGTATGGTTTGAAACAGGCTTCTAGGCAATGGAATATAAAATTGACCACTGCTTTACTAGAAGCAGGTTATGTACAGAGTTCACATGATCATTCTATGTTTACAAAACATTCAGGGTTTGATATAGTGATAGTTCTTGTATATGTTGATGATTTACTGATTACAGGAAATACCCAAGCTCTAGTTGATGATGCTCAAAAGACTCTACACAACAAGTTTAAGGTGAAAGATCTAGGACAACTCAGATACTTCATAGGAATTGAGATATTAAGGTCAGACAAGGGGATATTACTCAATCAAAGGAAGTACACTTTGAAACTTTTATCCAAAGCTAGATTAGGAGGAGCTAAGCCAGCATCCACTCCAATGGAGATGAACATAAAGCTTACTACTGTAGAATATAATTCAATGGTTGGGAATGTGAATGATCCTATCCTAACTAATGTGCATAGCTACCAGCAGCTGATAGGGAAACTGATTTATTTGATAATCATCAGGCCTGACATTTGCTTTGCAGTTCAGGTTCTTAGTCAATTCATGCAACATCCAAAAAGGTCACATTGGGATGCAACACTAAGAGTTCTTAGATATTTGAAAGGGGCACCTGGACAAGGAATATTGCTGAAGAAAGGATCAATCACAAGCTTAACAGCATTCTGTGATTCAAATTGGGCAGCATGCCCCAACACAAGAAGGTCAATAACAGGATATATAATCATGCTTGGGGAGTCTATGGTTTCATGAAAATCAAAGAAACAACATACATTGAGTAGAAGCTCAGCAGAAGCAGAATACATGAGTATGGCAGGGGCAATATCAGAAATTATATGGTTAGTAGGGTTGCTGAAGGATCTAAAGGTTGACATAATCACTCCAGTCAAACTATGGTGTGACAACAAAGTTGCTATGCAAATTGCTTCTAACCCAATGTTTCATGAACGAACCAAACACATCGAGATAGATTGTCATTTTGTGAGAGAGAAGCTCAAAGATGGACTGATCAAGCTTGAGCATATTGGAACCAAGTCACAGTTGGCAGATTTACTTACAAAATGATTAGGGACAGTACAACATCACAATCTTCTTTCCAAGCTAGGAGTTCTTGATGTCTTCCATCCCAGCTTGAGGGGGAGTATTAAATAAATAGAAGATTAGTTAGTGATTATATGTGTAGTTAGTTAATAGACTGCAGCTAGTTATAACTAACTTTATCGTAGAAAGTTAGTTATAACAATACAACACTGTAGTTGAATGTATAAAATGATGTGTACTTGGCATTTTACATATATGAAAATATCTTCTCTTCTCCTTCAAATGTTCTCTACATGATTATCAATCTATTCTAGTAGAAGAAAATTAACACTTTCAAAAAGGAGCAACTTTCACATATAGCAAACACAAAATTCATATTTGCATGCTATAATAAAGTATGCATAATTGCGCTCCATAGCAAACATATATATGTATAATTCGCTATATATATACAAAAAAAATAGTTGTATAATTCGCTATACATATACAAAGAAAACAGTTGTATAATTCGTTATATATCTATAAAAGAAAGCAGTTGTATACAAAAGATCAATTGTATAATCGGTGTATGTATAAAATGAGAAAGAGAGAAATGCAAAAGAAAACTAGGCAGAGAAATATTTGTATTGTATAATTATAAGTGTATAGGACGAAGATATATGTATTTGCATGTGTATATACAATTTTCTCTCGCTTTATACAAACAGAAGCGCAATTTATACATTTCGTTTCTATTTGTATAAGCAAGAGAGACGAGCGAGATTTGGGAGAGTGGCGAGCGAGATCTGGAAGAGGGGAGAGAGGAGAACGAAAATATATGTATATATACAATTTCCTCTCGCTTTATACAAACACAAACACATTTTATACATTTGTGTTTGTATAAAAGCGAGAGAGGCGAGCGAAACTGCCACCAAACGAGAGTGGCGAGCGAGATTCCACCAGGGAGAGTGACGAAAATAACAATAGTTTGTTATAGGGTACAATTAAATCAAAGTATATTTATAGCATTTAATTTGAATTAATAGTTTGCTATTATATATAATTTTCCCTTCAAAAAGAGGGTGTTGTGAATCAAGTAGACTTTGTACGGGCTTATGTGTTAGAAGTCGTGAATGGGGCTGATTTAGATGGGATTATTGGGACGAGTAAAATACTAGAGAGTTTTATTTGGGATCCAGGCCTAATTATCAATCAGTTAAATAGGATTAGGGATTAGACAGAAGAGTTATGCGTATTATGAAGAAACCGTTTGTTCCTCTCATCTTCTTTCTAAAATCTTAACTTCTCATCTCCATTCTTATCTTTATCTTTAGTTACTTGTTATTTCAGTATTATTTCTCTTTGTAATTCAAGTGTTGTTATTATAATTGGTTATCAATGAATATAATGTTTATGTATCTGTATTATTAAATTAGGTCTTGGGCCTAACTCACACCCCAAAAGCTAGCTCAAAGGGAGGAGGATTGCCCAAGCCATATAAGGAGTTCACCCATCTCATTAATCACCGATGTGGGACATTTGTCATTCTTTAACACCCCACCTCACTCCCAGTGCTTAACATGTGGTGCGTGGGCAATTTTGATTTTGGGGGCCCCAACATGTCCATTTCCCACCGGACACGTAAGCCTAACCCAACCACAACGATAGAGAAATAAAAATACGAGAATAAAAAATAATAAATAAGCGGAAGACTTTAATTAAAACTCAACACTACCCAGAATTTGATTGTCACATGTACAAACCTCTAAATACAGAATTCGAACAAAAATATACAAGTCTCAGAGTATAGTTCTCGAATAGAACAAAACTAAAAGTAAAGATAACTCAAGGGCACGTCTGGAATGAACCACTACCTCTCGAGTATGTCCCGAAACTCAATCTGCTAAAGAAAATACTAAGTCGAATCTGAGAGAGAGTTGTCAACCTACACAATTGTGTAGAAGTAATGGTGAGTACTGAAAACCACAAGTACTCGCAAGTAACTCTAAACTAAGCAAAACTAGCAGCTACAAACAACTCCTTTCACTCCCAACCGAACCACCGAAACTTCAATCTAACCGCAAATCAACCAACCTATACTAAACAGGTCATATTCAATAGCCAGAGCCAACAATATATCCTCATCAACCTCAGATCAACAAATAAGAGCAAGTAGATCAAATTCCACATAAGAAGGGTAAACCGATACAATCCACACATCACAGACAAAGATACGGCAAATGCGATGCAAAATGCAATAATGATGTCATGTAGTCGTGATGCATGTCGGTCCTACGATACACATCTGTTGACGTAATCAGTCCGCGCTGAATACTCAAATCAGAACCCATGAGGGCCACACATGGACCATGTATCACCGCCGGAACCAGATCCCATCGGCATCCAAATCGCTAGCCGGAGCTAGTCCATCTCATATATCTCTAGCCGGAGCTAGTCTCAACTGTGTCTCATATCCATCCATCCTCGTATCAGTGTCTCAGAACTCATGCAACAGATAGTTCACACATGGGATGAATAATGAATATGCACATGTCATCAATCATAATCATATCACGATCACATCATAGTATTACACATCATCTGTCTCAATCACAACCATATCACGATCACATCATAGTATTACACATCACCTGTCTCAATCACAACCATATCACGACCACATTATAGTATTACACATCACCTGTCTCAATCACAACCATATCACGACCACATCATCTGTCTCAACATCAATGTCTGTATCAATCATAGCCTACTCATGCTTTTCTATCCCATCAATATCAATCATCACATGACTTATTCAACAAATTCAAGTCACATATAACACATTTAGCTCGTTTTATTCCCCATCTTTCATTTACAACAATTTCAATCAACAAATAAAACTCATCCTCAATCCCCATTACTCCCCAACACAATTAGGAAAGTAGTCATGCGTAGTCTAAGAGTTTTACAAAGTTTGGAAGCCACTTGCCTTAAAATGAACTTCAAAAGTTACTTGACTTGAGCCTTTCCTTTTCGAGTATAATCCGGATCACGATAATCTATTCAAACAATTATTCACAATCTTCAATTCGAGTCCAATGACACCAAAATCAAGAAATTTAGGAAAAAAAACCAGATCCCATCGGTATCCAAATCGCTAGCTAGAGCTAGTCCATCTCATATATCTCTAGCCGGAGCTAATCTCAGACTGTGTTCATTTGGTATTTTGAGCATATCGGGAGTTCTAGAGATCGGAATGGAGTGATTCTTACGGGTTTCTTCTTGAATTAATATGAGGGTTAGTATTCAATCTTCAATTCGACATTTTCTCATAATTTCTTTATCTGGTTTTTTCTCCTATCCGTAAATCTCTTGGGAAAAATTGGGGTTTTATCGATTTGGACTCACTTTTTGATGAAAAAGGTATATTTACGATCCTTATGTTATGGGTAAACTGATTTTAACATAAAATTATTGATTCATCGATTATTTTCATCATATTAACCGCGTACAATTTGGACTTTCCCGGTAAAGTTAAAGTTTGATAAATTGAGAATTTCAAGGTCGATCTTAACTCCGTTTTTGATGAAATTTCATATTTGAACTTATCTAAGCATGGGTAAGATGTTTTTCAAGAGATATTTCATTTTCGAGGCGGGGTTTCGGATCCGAATATTTTAGGCTTCTTCAAGAACGTGGATTTTCCTTCAAATTGAGTTTGTGAATTGATTTCAACTACGTTTTCAATTTGGTTTTCACCATTAGCTTCCAAATACTTTAAGGATCATTTTACATCAAAAATTTCCAGATTTGGGTATCATTTTCCGGTATGAGACTTTTGGATCGTTTTGCCCTTTTAAACCTAAATTTCTTGATTTTGGTGTCATTGGACTCGAATTGTGATTGTGAATAATTGTTTGAATAGATTATCGTGATCCGAATTATACTCGGAAAGGAAAGGCTCAAGTCAAGTAACTTTTGGAGTTTGTTTTAAGGCAAGTGGCTTCCAAACTTTGTAAAACTCTTAGACTACGCATGACTACTTTCCTAATTGTGTTGGGGAGTAATGGGGATTGAGGATGGGTTTTATTTGTTGATTTAAATTGTTGTAAATGAAAGATGGGGAATAAAACGAGCTAAATGTGTTATATGTGACTTGAATTTGTTGAATAAGTCATGTGATAACTGATATTGAGGGGATAGAAGAGCATGAGTAGGCTATGATTGATACAAATATTGATGTTGAGAAAGATGGTGTGTAATACTATGATGTGGCCGTGAAATGGTTATGATTGAGACAGGTGATGTGTAATACTATGATGTGCTCGTGATATGTCACGCCCCGAGCTGCCCCCAAGACGCGGACACGGGACCTAGGACCACAAGTGATCCCAAGCTAACCCTGCTGGCATGATCATGAGCATACTAAAAATAATAAACTGATGCGGAAGCTAATTCATAAATAAATCTGAAAAGATGGGGAATACCCATATACTATAACTGAATATATCAAATCTGAGAGTTTAATACAAAAGAAATATCAAACTCAAAACACTAAGCTGAATCTAACTATGTCTGAAATAAGCCTCTAAACTGACTAGAAATGTTGGGACATGCCCCAACTAGATCTAGCAAAACTGAAACTAAAGACTAAAACCGATAAAGATAAACATGTCACTAGTCCTCGAAGAATGAGGACTCACCACTGATGCTGCTGAACTGAAGAT